TCCTCCTACAACTGTGATCTATTGTTCACAACCTCTTTTGCCAGCTCATCCTGATCTACCAAAATTTTAAAAGGGAGAATTCCTCAAAACATGGTCTTTAATCTTATTCTTTTCTCATTCTACATTCTCCTTAGGCGACTCTACACTAATGATTCCCCAATTTGTATTTCCAGTCCAGGTCTCTTACAGCTAACTTCCTAAATGATATCAGTTGGATGTTGTCTTAGTTATCTAGTGTGGTTATAACAGAAATAAAACAAATGGATGGCTTTAACAAACACAAATTTATTTCCTCACAGTTTAGGAGACTAGAAGTCTGAATTCAGGGTACTGGCTCTAGGGGAAGGCTTTCTTTCTCTCTCAGCTCTGGAGGAAAATACTTGTCTCTGCGGAGCTTCTGCTCCTGGGTGATCTTCATGTGGCATGGCATCTTTCTTCTCTCATCTCTATTCTCTTGCTCGCTTGTTTTATCTCTTTTATATCTCAGAGATTGACTTAAGACACACCTCACACTAATCCTGTCCTATTAACATAACAAAGAAAACTCATTCCCAAATGAGATTATAACCACCGGCATAGAGGTTAGGATTTACAACACATATTTTTGGGGGACATAATTCAACCCATAACATTCCACCCTTTGGCCCTCCAAAATTCATGTTCTTGCCACATGCAAAATACATTCACCCCATCTCATCATCTGGAAAGTCTTAAATCAACTCCAAGTCCAAAATCTCATCTTCTAAATTATCTAAATCAAATATGGATGAGACTTTAGGAGTATTCCGTCCTGGGGTAAAATACCTCTTCATCTGTGCATCTGTGAAACCTAGATTATAAATTGTCTTTTTCCAAAGTACAATGGTGAAGCCGGTACAAGGTAGACATTTCCATTACAAATGAGAGAAACTAGAGGGAAAGAGGGGATAACAACATCAAGCAAGTCCAAAACCCAGCAGAATAATTTACATTAGCTCTCAAAGCTTGAAAATAATCCTCTCTTCTCTGTGACCATCTAGGCAATTGCCCTGCCCTCCAGATTCTGGGTATTGGTCACATCCTCTGGATTCTGGGTGGAGGCCCCTTGGCCTTGGGCTTCAGCTTCGCCTTCCTATACTCACTGGGATTCCAACCCTGCTCCCTTGGTTTTCAGTGGCCCCATTCTCCTAGTCCATCTGAGTGGTGACTCCACCCGTTTGGCCACAGCAGGTCCATCCTTCTGCTCCTTGGGCATGTCAGCTCTGCCCCCTCAGCTTTGGACAGCAGTCCCATCCCCCTGGCACACCTTAACAGCAACCCCACACACCAGAACCAAGTTGGCAAAGATCTGACTCATTGAAACCTTGGAGGCTGTGGCCCCACCCTTTGAGATACAGGAGACCATGGCCTCACTCTTTGGAACTGAGAAGGCCCTGCTTCCCATGCTCCTTCCAAGAGTTCTGCTGATCTCTGAGCTGCTCCAGAGATGGTCCTTTTCTTGGTGGAGGACAGATGTAGCTCCTTTGGCCTGTTTCCTGCCTGTTGAATTCAAAGAGGCAGATAGTGTTATTTCCTTTCATTCTTTCTCTGTCCCCTTCAGTCTAAGCTGATAAGCTTTCTTCTGTGGTAGTTGGTTAGATCCATCAGTCACAGGCTTAATTTCTTTAACTAAAGTTTATGTAGTCACATCCTTGGTGAACATTCTAGGACACACGTCCTTAGTTTGTACAACAGAATTTTCCAAAACTTCTAGTTTTACGTTCATTTTCCAGAGTTCATTTTTTTTTATTGTGCTTTAGACAAAAGTTTGCAACACAAATTAGTTTCTCATTCAAAAATTTATACACAAGTTGTTTTATGATATTTTTCCAATCCCCACAATGTGTCAGCTCTCTCCCCCTTTCCACCTGTTTCCCCATGTCCATTCACCAGTTTTCCTGTCCCTTTCTGTCTTCTCATCTTTGCTTTTGGGCAGGTGTTACCTATTTGGTCTCGTATACATGATTGAACTAAGAAGCACGTTCCTTACGTGTGTTATTGCTTATTTTATAGGCTTATCTAATCTTTGGCTGAAAGGTGCACTTTGGGAGTGATTTCAGTTATGAGTTAGCAGGGTTTCCAGGGGCCATAGTTTTGGTGATTCCTTCAGTCTCTGTCAGACCAGTAGATCTGGTCTTTCTTTGTTAATTTGAATTTTGTTCTACGTTTTTCTCCTGCTCTATCAGGGATCCTCTATTGTGATCCCTGTCAGAGCAGTCTGTGATGGTAGCTGGGCACCATCTAGTTCTTCTGGGCTTAGGCTGGTGGAGACTGTGGTTCATGTGGTTCTTTAGTCCTTTGAGCTAATATTTTCCTTGTGTCTTTGTTTTTTTTCATTCTCCTTTGCTCTTGATAGGATGGGACCAATAGATGTATCTTAGATGGCCTCTTGCAATCTTTTAAGACCCCAGATGCTACTCATCAAAGTAAGATGTAGAACATTTTCTTTACGCACTATGTTATGCCAAGACTATAGTCCCCAGCCCTCAGCCACAGTAACTCGGTCCCTGAAGGTGTTTGGATGTGTCTAGGAAGCTTGTATTACTTTGCCTTTGTCAAGTTGTGCTGACTTTCCCTATATTGTGTGTTGTCTTTCCCATTACCAAAGTTAACACTTGCCTACTATCTAGTTAGTGATTTCCCCTCTTCAGCCCTCCTCTCCCTCATAACCATTAAAGATAGTTTCTTTCTGTGTTTAAACCTAAGTTTTTATAATAGTGGTCTCATATAATATTTGTCTTTTTGTGATTGACTTATTTTACTCACCATAATGCCCTCCAGATTCACTCATGTTGTGAGATGTTTTACGGATTTATCATTGTTCTTTATTGTTGCATAGTATTTCATTGTATGTATGTACCATAATTTGTTTATCTATTCTTCTGTTGATGGGCATTTATGCATGGTTCATTTTTATGTCCATCTCTTTCCTCTTCCATTTTATGATAAGCAGCAATAAGAAATCACACGAACCTTTTAAGATCTTGCTGAGAAAGATCTTATCAGCCAGATATCCAAGTTCACCGCTTACAAGTTCTATCTTCCACGAAACATTTCAACATAATTCAGATAAGTTCTTTGCCACTACATAAAAAGCATTGCCCTTTCTCCATTGGCCAATCACACCTTCATTGTTTTCTTTTAAAACCTCACTAGAAGCACATTTAATGTCCATATTTTTAGCAACATTCTGTTGCTGGCACCATGTGTATTCTGTAAGTTGATAGAGAATTTCTCTATATCTCTCCTCACTTCCTTCTGAGCCCTCACCATAATTGCCTTTGACATCCATAATTCTTCCAATAGTCTCTTCAAGGCAATCTAGGCTTTTACTATTAGACACCTTAAAACTATTCCAGCCTCTACCCATTACCCAACTCCAAAACCACTTTCAAGTTTTAGGTATCTGTTACAACAGCACCCCGCTCTTCCAATATCAAATTCCATCTCAGTTATCTAGTGCTGCCATAACAGAAATAGCGCACGTGGATGGCTTTAACAAACAGAAATTTATTTTCTCACAATTTAGGAGGCTAGAAGTCCAAATTCAGGATGTTGGCTGTAGGGGAAGCCTTTCTTTCTCTTTCAGTTCTGGAAGAAGTTCTTTGTCTCTTCTGAGCTTCTGCTCTTGGGTGATCTTGATGTGACATGACATCTCTCTTCTCTTGCTTGCTTGCTTAATCTCTTTTATATCTCAAAAAAGAGATCGATTTAAGCCACAGCCTACACTAATCCTACCTTATTAACACAACAAAGAAAACCCATTCTCAAATGGGATTATAACCACAGGCATAGAGGTTAGATTTACAACACATATTCTGGGGGGACACAATTCAACCCATAACAGATATCTATAGTCATCTAAAATGTCACATGTCCAAAAGGAACCCATATTCATGGTCTTTACCACCACCCCAAACATATTGCTCTTCTAATGACCCTTCTCAGAAAATAGTATCACAGTCTATGTTGTTACAGGAGACAGACTCTTGAGGGCTGTTCTGAAAACACTCCTCCTTCTAAATCTCCATGTCAAACCAGTGCAAGTCAAATCAATATGGCCACCAAGTGCTATTAAATCTACTCTAAAATACGCTTTGAATTCATCCACTGCTCTCCATCTCCACTACGTCCCTCCTCTTCCAAAATGCCATTATCTCTCATGTAGACTAATGCAGTAGGATCCGTATTTTCTCCCCGTCCAATTTTTTTCTTGTCCAATGCATTCTTCACACAGAATCCAGAAGACTCTTTTTCTTTAATGTATTTTTATTTTATTATACCAGTGTCCTATTAAAATTGCTTTCACTTGCATTTAGCATAAAACTAATTCTTAGAAGGGCCCGTGAGACTTGCCTGGGCTGACTATTGCACACCTCACCAAACTCACCTCCTGCCACTATCTCTGGTGTTTACCCTGTTCCAGTGACTCTGGCCTTCTCTCAGTTCCTTGAACACTCCCTTACACATGCTGTTCATTCCATGTTTTGCCAGCAACCTTTCCATCCTGTAGATCTTGACATACACATCATTTTCTTACAGAGACTTTCTCTGACCTCCCTAAACTACATCAGTCCACTAATTATTTACCCTCTTTCAGGACCCATCCTCCTACATAGATGGCACAAATGGCCATCTAGTCTGTAATTTTATATGTATTTATATATTTATTTGTTTAAGATTTTCCTCCTCCCCCATTAGGCTGTAAACACCATGAAAACAGAGGCCTTTGTCACTATATCCCTTGGGTTTAGGACAAGTCTATCACACAGCCTGAACCCAACAAACACTTGATAAATAAATTCTAAAATGTAAGCTCCAATAGAGCAGCAGCCATATACCTCCAGTTGTGTTTCTTACACTTAGCATAGTACCTTGGGAATATTGGTAGATACCCAAGAAATATTAGTTCAATGAATAAATAAAGGAGACTGTATGTTGTTTTTCCCCAAATAAACTAATTCCATCAAAAGTCAGTATATGTGCTCACTTCAGTAGCACGTATACTAAAATTGGAACATACAGAGAAGATGAGCATGGACTCTGCCCAAGGATGATGTGCAAATTTGTAAAAGCAGGCCTAATTGTAGAAAATTCTTTCTTATAGACCGAGATTTGGATTCTCTTAGTCAATAACATCTATAGTTCTTCCCTTTGATCTCAGTTGAGCTACACAGAATAAGATTAATCTCTCTTGAGCATGAAGAGAAACATGGCATATCCCTTCTATGTCTTCCCTCAACCAGTCCCCAAGTGAATGATGTGACCTTCAGACCCTTCCTTATTTTGATTGTCTTTCTTGGAGTATACTATAGTTTTATAATTTTTCCCTTGAAATTCATTGTCCTAAACTGTATCTATCACATATATAAAAATATTATTATCCCCATTTTTCTGTACTGGATATTTTTATTAACATTGCCTAATTACACATGTTGGCAGTCAGGCTCCAGTATTAATTTATATTGAACTTTCAGTGTATTATTAAACTCCAGGAATGCAATTAAACCAGGTCATCTACTTCCAGTACTTAGGTTTTCCGGACCTAAGTTAGGGTTTTACATTCATCCCTAGTAAACATCACTTAAAGAGATTTGACTCTCATTTCCACGCTCTCGAAATCTTTTTGCATTCTGATTCTGTCATCCAGTGCACTAACTCTGTCTCAGTTTTATGCCATCCATCCAAAAACGTTGACTGTACTCATTCTGAAAACTTGGTTCCCTTATCTTCTAAGAAATTCCTCTCTCCTAGTTCTCTGTCATCATTCTAACTGTTCTTTCTCAATCTCTTTTGAGACTTTCTTTATTTACACATTCACTCATTCATTTGGTCAGTCATAAAATAGATGTTTTTTGAGTACTTCCTTTTCCTAGTTATCTAGTGCTGCTATAATATAAGTGGATGACTTTAACAAAGAGAAGTTTATTCTTTCACAATCCAGTAAGCTAGAAGTCCAAATTCAGGGCACCAGCTCCAGGGAAAGTCTTTCTGTCTCTGTCGGCTCTGGAGGAAGGTCTTTGTCATCAGTCTTCCCTTAGTCTGGGAGCATCTCAGCACAGGAACCGCAGGTCCAAAGGACACGCTTTGCTCCCGGTGCTGCTTTCTTGGTGATATGAGGTCCCTATGTGTCTCTGCTCGCTTCTCTCTTTTATATCTCAAAAGAGATTGGCTTAAGACACTATCTAATCTTGTGGACCTCATCAATATAACTGTTGCTAATCCATCTTTTTACATCATAGTGATAGAATTTACAACACATAGGGAAATCACATCAGATGATAAAATGGTAGACAATCATACAACTCTGGGAATTACGACCTGGACAAGTTGACAGATATTTTTGGGGGACACAATTCAATCCATGACATTCCTCTGTGCTAAAGCCTGGCTAAGGTGTTGAGAATACAAAGATGAATAAGTCACAGTCTTTGTCTTCAAGCCTACTTCTCAAAATTTCCTTAGGTTTCTTTTAATCACTGAACAAATTTACCTATAATCATTGCTTCTACTAAAAAAGGTATGCTTGCTAAATCCTAAACCAATGTATCAGCTTTATAATCTCTCCTTAAGTCTAGATGCTTATTTTTAATGGTCAGTGAAGCTTCTCCATTTAATTGTCCCATAAAGAGAGAGAGGTTTATTTAAGGAATTGGCTCACTTGGTTGTGGGGGATGACAAGTCCAAAATCTGAGGATCAGGTGACAGGGTGAAAACTCTGACACTCTTGTTTCTAAAATAGTAGGCCAGGGAGCTGGAAACTCCAGAAAGATATCTATGTTAAGATCTTGAGGCAGAAGCTCCCTCCTTTATGGAAACCTCAGTTTTTGCTCTTAAGGCCTTTAACTGATTGGATGAAGCCCACTCGTATTATAGAGGGTAATTGGCTTAACTTAAAGGCAACTGATTATATATGTCAATCACATCTAGATACCTTCATAGAAACATCTAGATTAGTGTTTGAGCAAACAACTGGGCACCATGGCCTAGCCAAGGTGACACATAAAATTAACCATCACATTTCTCTTCCTCTACATCCCAGCTGCTACTATTTTAGTTCAGTTTTTATTTTCTATCAGATGAATAATTCTTACATCCTCAATCTGACTTCCAAACTTCCACTCCTACCCTCTCCACATCCATTCTCCACTTAGCTATCAGGACCCCAAAAGGAACTAAGGAGGTTTGCAAAAAATGTATTCTATGTGTTAGCAAGATTTCAGCAAACAAAAGAAGGAATAAAACATGAGGCAAATAAAAATTATCTAGGGAAGTATGAGGCAGGAATAATATCTAACACTTATTTCATTCTTTCTGTGAGTCTGACTTACTGCTCTAAGTGCTTTACATCTGTTATTTCATTTAATCATGGACACCTCTGTGAGGACTGATAAGAAAACTGAAAGGTTAATATGTTCAAGGTCGCATTGCTAGTTAACCAGTAGATATGAACCCAAGTTGTCTGTCTCCAGAACTCATGTTCTTAATCACTCAGTATGCGCCTCCTGGGAATGAAATATAAGCACAACAGTTATGCCATGAAATTTTATATACTTGCTAGAGGCAGTCAACAGATTTAACGGTTAACTGTCAAACAGCTAAGATAAAGAGGAAAGAAATAGTCAGTTACAAGATTCACATTGACTATAAAAGTAAAAACAAACCAGTCGTCCATAGAAAAATACCGCAATTCTTAATGTTAAGACAAATAACAAAATAAGGGCAGACTGAGGTAAGCTAGTTTGGCTGCTGAAAACTGTGAAGTTCTTTTGGTAAGATGTGTCACCTCTGATTGTCAGAAGTAGATAAGAGTTACATGTTACCTACCCCAATAACCACACTGCTACGTGGGTATGCTGTGATGAAAGCAAGTCTAAATTCTTACATTCTTTCCAAAATTTAGTAGCAACTAGGCAGAAAAAACACAGTCTCACAACCTAATAAATGTAGCGAAGTCCCTGCTTTTGACTCAAGCACTCTGACAAGCGCCTTGCAGGAATGTTTTGCTCAAGGCAGATGTAACCATATTTTAGCAGCCAGATCAGCTAAACTTCTAGTCTGATCAGGTTACAGAATCCTCCGTTGAGTGGCCGGGTTAGGATGCTTCCCATTCCTTCGAGGTCAAGTGTACCTTTATAACATTTCTAACAAATCCATAAACCTTGAATTCCAGTCCATGCACCAATTAAAAATTATTTCTATCGTCTCTTTTGCCAGAGGCTCTTAAACTTTTTGCACCATGGACTCCTTTGTTAGTCTGTAGAAGACTGTGGACCCCTTCTTGGATAATGCTTTTAGATACATAAAATAAAACACATCGTATTTCAAAAAAAAAAAAAAAAAAAAATCCATTTACATTGCAATGAGATTATAAAAAATATTTTCATAAAAATGCTTCTCTTTTAAAGCATTGAAGGTCTAAATACCACTGTGGTTTTGAAGTAATAGTGAGTTTATTTCGAGATCTCTGCATTCACTGTCATGTAAAATGAAAATTAATCAGAATGTTGATGAGGCCTATTCAAAATAAAGGAAGTTATTTAAATGGTACCAATAGTTCATGGCATCAGATGATGATGGTTAAATGTGTCTTTCTCCAACTTAGACATATTCGTAACACAGGGACCAGAAAGAAAACAAGTCCATAGACCAGGTTAAATGTTTTCTAGGCCAGAAATAAGAACAATGAACAAATTTTGTTGTAGCTTAAATGACAGTACTAACATATGAAAAGAATCTAGCAACTGGTGGGTATACAAGATCTGTAGAAAATCCAGAAAACGTGAATGTAGAATGAATGAACTAGCCTTGCTCTTCCAGCACTATCCAGGGAAGGAGGACAAAGTCCTGTTTTTGTAAAACATTTAGTTGTAAAGGTGCTTTTGACTATATCTATGGTCTAAAAAATCATCCATTGAAAACCTATAGAGCACAGTTCTACTCTGACACACAAGGGTCGCCATGAGTTGAAGTCAACTCAACTACAACTGGTATCCTTACCTATTGTTCATTGACTTTGTAATCTAACGCTCAATGTGGTGGGCAGGCATGGGGGCTACATTTGGAGGCCCCCATGTACAACAGGAACTTTTTATATCAGGGACACTTTAATGGGGTTCATGCACCTATAGAATTTCTATGGAAAGTCAGCAAGGGTTCTCTGATTCTCCTGAAACTGAGTGCAAACTTTAGTGTAAGCAGATAATCCATAGCTCTCACCAGATTCTCTAAAGGGAACTTGATCCACCAAAAATAAGAAACATTTTTCTATACTACATTTTTTACTTCTATGGCATGCTTGTTTGCCTTCATGACCTTTTCAATTCTCTGGAAAGTATATTTACTTTTCTTCACAAATTTTAAATTAAACATTTCTTGAACAGGTCAAAAAATCTCCAGCCCAATCTTTCACAATTGTTGTTGTTGTTAGGTGCCGTCCAGTCAGTTCCAAGTCATCGCAACCCTATGTACAACACAACAAAACACTGCCCAGTCCTGTTCCATCCTCATAATCATTGCTATGTTTGAGCCCACTGTTCAATGCAGCTACTGTGTCAATCCATCTCATTGAGAGTCTTCTTCTTTTTCACTGACCCTTTACTTTACCAAGCATGATGTCCTTCTCCAGGGTCTGGTCCCTCCAGATAACATGTTCTTATGAAAAGCAGTAGATTAAACCTTCTATCATTAAACCTATAGAATGTGAGCACAAACTAAGTAAAGGTATCAGTATAGTACCTCTCTCTGCCATACCACCATCAGAGGGGATTTTAGAATGTGTGCTCACTGAGTTTAGAATTAACACAGAAAATATATAAAGAAAAAAAATCTTTCCCTTGAATTTTTTCCTCCTTCTAAACTAACCTTAAATACTGTTGGTTCTTGACCATATGCTACCTTCTGAAACGGTTGAACGACTACCAATTCTTTTTGGTACAAGAAAGTATTCCTTCCACCTTCTTTTCTTTTCAAGTACTTTGGACATGTTATCAGGAGGGACCAGTCCCTGGAGAAGGACATCATGCTTGGTAAAGTAGACCGTCAGTGAAGGAGAGGACGGCCCTCAACACAATGGATCAACACAGTGG